CCGGCGGGGCCCGAATTTTTAACTTGTGTTGGGCAAGGCCGTGGCCTAGGCAACACGGAGTTTTCCTCATTGGCATCCCAACAATTACTCCATTCACACACAGAAGAAGGCTATGGCAAACCACTTTTGGATCATCTGCCAAGAACGTATATGAACAGGTCCCAGTCCGAGAAGAGAAAAGGATGGAAGGATCCTGTTCATATGGACCTGTCGTCAGACAGAACACTAAATAAATAAATATAAAATATAAAAATATTTCGAAATTGTACTAATTTCACGGGAACCGGTTCTTTTCGTAATTTCAAAGAATTAAATTTTTTGGTGACATTGGTAAAATTCAGTTAAGAAGATTTTTGGCCTTATGGGACAATATTTATGACTATGTATTTTCACTGCATTATATTTCCCCATCATTCTTGGTGGTAGATATACTAGTTTGTTAGAGACAGCAATAAGACGTAGCTGACCTGAGCCGCCATAACACGTTGCCTCTCCGCTATGAGGTTGCACTTAGCACAGACACAGGCCTTGAAGCGACACTGCCTCTTGTGGCCTTTCAGCCAACTAATCATGCCGTGATTTCTGCAGCGAGCGCATTTGGGACGCCGAGCGCCTTTCTCCGTCGTCGGATAGCTGGAGGCGCCTGCTGGAGGCTGCAGTAGACGACCTCGGGCTCCTGGACTCAGCATCCGGTACTTTCCTATAAGATTAAAATTGTGGATGAAATAATGATGACTGTTTTATGAGATCCTAGGCCTTGAGGTTGATAACTTTCTATGAGCGTAACACCCCAGAAGACAGAAATTTTTATACTCGTAACCATGAAAACCTAAAATCTTACCTATGGCTAAAAGATTTTAAAAACCGGTTTTGTGTAACTACAAACATTACTTAATGATAGAATTCTATAGTTTAAGAATGATTTTCGGCTTATTTTATTTTTGGGCCCAGTGGTAATTATATATACCACCAGCTATAACAATCAACAGTTTAACGCTATATTTTACTCACAGAATTTATATTCACAAGTTTCATATGATTTAAAATTTAAACAGTGATTATTTCCTTAAACAACATTAAACAGTTGATCCTTGTAATGTTGAAGTGTAGTGTTTTCTTTGTGGTACGGACAAATTTTGTTAATACTATTTAGACGAGTTTAGGTTTCAAACGAATCCTCTGCGCTGGATCGACCGTAAATCTGAGAATGTTAGGACAACATCGGTGTGGTAATTGCCAGCTGACAGCCCGCACATTATTATTATATTTTTATTTTGATTAAGAACGAAACAAATTCTTCGTTTCTTATCCAAATTATATGTATGTTATAAATATATATTTATTTTTAATAAAGCAATAGGACGGTTAGGAACAATTCAGAACGCATCTGGAAATTCCCGCTACTGGCTAACTCGATCAAGGTTTTCCGCGGTTATCCTTGGTCACAGAGAAAATGCTGAGATGGTACCCAAATTTCATGCATCTCACGTAGCCCTCATAGTGGTATCATAAAAATTGCGTCCTAAAGTATCTCCCATATCAACATAAAAACTTTTACTAAATGACGCCTTTCCAAAGTTAATATCAAAATTCCAAATTGCGCACGGACGCAGTAAGACCCTGATCCACTTCTCCCCTACTCAGTTTCTTATCCCACCTTTTCCACGTCCAAATAACTTATTTTGGCTAAAACTATCTTTGCCAGAAAGACGAGCGAGCACTGCCTGGGGACCCTCAAATCTAAATTTGTCCGCCCCCCCCCCATTAAAAATCAGTGCCTGTCACTAATCCCCAACTTTCTCTTCTTTCTCTCCCTCCCCCTCTCTTTTTCCTTCGTTCGGCTTCAAAACGTTAAAACTGAAATAATTCCACACAGAATTTTCTAAAAAACAAAAATTTCCTCCTTTGTTTAATTTGCAGAGAGATGTCCTGCTCATAGAAATAACAAACATAACATTTCCATTTTGTCCTTATTATGGTGCATCTAACGAGGGTGTCAGTCGAATGATTAATTACTACTTAATTAGAAAGGACGTGGAAGAAACCGGTCGTGGCCTAATTTAATTCATTATCCCAACATTTGTCTGAAGGTTCTGATGAAAATAACAAAACACGTTAGTCAGGATATCTGGTATTGGGTTTGAGATTTTTACCTGGTATCTCCATAATATCAAGAAATCATTTTCCAAGTTCGATGATTTTTCACCTGAAAAACTGTTCTTTTGAATCGTTACCGATAGATGTTTTGGACTAACATGTCTGTTTAAGCTAAATAATTTATTCAATTAGTAAAAATATGTTTATTGTAGCTTAGCCGTGTACCTGTCTTTTATTGTTCTCCATGTTAAATTTTTAACCTAATGACAAATTCAATTAAAGCTAGTAAGAAATCATACAATTAGAGGCCAGTCCGACTTTATTATTATAACTTCCTGCCATCAATAATACCAAAATTGCGGAAAAGATTAGTTGTGAAATTGCCCAGATATTTAATATATAACCTGTTAAATTGTATGTCCGAGGTACAACATTTGGAAAAGAAAAATATATTTCAGATTGTAAAATAGCACATACTGACCTGGCAAATGATATTTGTTTTGAAAGCAGATCATTGTAAAATCATTGTATACAATTCAACAATAAATATACGGTGTCTACCTAAAACATTTTTATATATTTTTAAAATCAAAAACATGTCAACGGCTTAGCGTTCTGGAAATATGTCTAACAAATTTAACTTAGCCAGAAAGTGATACCTACTAAAGAAAATTATGAACAGAATAGTATCATTAAACATTATAATTAGCGTTTTAACCTTCTTGTTTACTTCACTGTACGGACAGATACATTACAAGCAGCGTAGATTTTATACTTTTCCCCCCAGAGGATCTTGCTTCGAATGCTGAATGGTATAATGCACATCTGACGAAGTCATAGATAATCAGCGTTCTACGAGGCGCGTCCCAAAAGTAAGTTTCCCACTCGTCCCACAGCTAGCAAACCTTATATTGCGCGAAGCGACTGTGCGTACGTGATAGAGCAATGACGTAGCATGGCGCATGCACTAACGGCACTTCCCGCGTTCTCACAGTAGCATCGTTGCAGCTGTTGAAGATGGAGGTTCTTATTCCAGCCCCCGCCGACTGTGAAGTGCGGTCAGGGATAACGCTAGGCCGCACACGGCTCAACGGACAGCGAGTCTCCTGCAGGAGTTCAGCTGGGAGGTGTTTAATCATTCACCCTACAGCCCGGACCTCGCTCCCAGTGATTTCCATCTTTTCCTACACCTCAAGAAATTCCTGTCCGGTCAGCGTCAGCGTTTTGAGAATGACAGAGAGGCGGAGATGGCTGTCACACAGTGGTTCCAATCCCAGGCGGCAGACTTCTACGACACAGGTATTCAAAAGTTGGTCCCACGGTATGACAAATGTCTCAATTCCGGTGGCGAATATGTTGAAAAATAGCTGGACACTTGCTGTATCTGTTGCAATAAATATTTACATGAAATTGTGTTTTGTTTCTGTAAACGGCCCAAGGGAAACTTACTTTG